TACTCTTGCTATCATCAAGAGTACATAACCCCCAAGAGTGTGCAACTGCCTGCACAATTATGTACAACCTCTATGCAGTGCTGCAAACGGCAGAACTTCACATCACGTGACATGGTTCAAAAGGTTACACTGGCAAACAGTGCAAAGTGACCACAAGAGAGTTGTACCCAAACCTGGGTTGCATACAACCCTGTATCTATCATGCACAGAGTGCAAATAATGTGTACGGGTTCATCGTGTGATGTGCCGTCGCCGACTCCATAGCTGGAGTTGCACACTCTTGGGGATTATGTACTCTTGCTATCAACATTCTTTGGCAACGAATATGTTGAAAGAACAGGGTGATCTCAGGAAGCCATTGGCTGCTTGGCTGGCTCCGTGGTGGTTTGGTTGAAGCCATGCTTTATCAATATCAAAAGGGGACGAACAGTGACTGTAACCACGGGCCCCATCTCTACTGCCAGAGTAAATTGCGTACTTTGAATGCACGTTACACGCACGCTCACACACAAGGACATACGCGCACATGCACACAAACACATGCAATAATCACACACACACACGCACACCACACACGCACGCACGCACACACACACACACACACACGCACACACACACACATACACACACGCACACATCCAGGACCGCGACCAGCCAACAAGGGACGTCCAGGGTCCGAACACCAACCCTACACTGTCCTCTCCTGTCCAGAAAATAACAAACTCACTTTGATGGTAATGTCATCCGTCGTCTATAATACACCGTGCCACCGTCATAACCTTGACTTCGACAAACAAACTCCGCGGCATGATCGTTAACCCAGTTAGTGCACACCGGATAGGGAACGCTGGCTGAAAAGACGATGCTGAGGAGTCCATCGTCAAAGTCTAATAGCGCTTGCCCGTTGTCCTGGCGATAACGTGCCAGCGTCATTCTCCATGCCGGTGCGGGATGCGACAGAGCTGAGCATGAGGAAAACACGATGTGCACGCATGCAGCATACAGACACACACGCACGCGCGCACACACACACACACATTACACATTAGCAATATTACACATTCAGCAGTCGAAAATCGGTTGGCCAGGAACGGAATGTCATGGCCCTTTCCCCAAAATTCCAATGATCATTTGCCACAGTCCGCTTCATCACACAAGCAACTGCTCATTGATGCGAGCAGCCATTGTACAACCATAGATATCAACAACAGTGCCTACCCACCAACCATGCTGTCCAACCATCCTGCTTGGAGCAGGACAGTCTTGCTTTGGACCAAACCTTTTTTTTGTACATTTACATGGGAGACAATTGCCTTAAGCGGGATTCACAGAACCTTTTTTGCGATGCGACACGTGATGCGACACGCGATGCGACGCGATCTGCGACGGACGTGTGCGATGCGAACTCGCGAAATACCATTCACAGAAGAAGTCAGTGATGCGAAAACATCTTGCTGATTTGGCTACGTCACCATGATATGCGCGCGGTTTGATACAACTTGTACAAATTTATAGGCAACTCTTGAACCTTTGTACAACTTTGCTGTAGAAAAGGTCAAAATCGTACGCCAAATCGCTTGTCGCATCGCATCGCATCGCAAAAGTTGAGCCAAGCTCAACTTCTGCGATGGCCCAGTTGCGGCAGTTGCGTGGAGTGCGACATGGCTGCGATTTGGGGTTTTCCCGGTTTCGCGCCTGTCGCATCGCAAAAATGCTTCTGTGAATCCCGCTTTAGGCGAGACCAAAATAAAATCGAGATTCCCGGGCAGGACCCATGTGAAATTGGTGCGGGCGGGCAAATTTTATTATTATTATTTTTTTCCGTGTATGGACATGTACATGCCATGTTGAACTTTTTTTACAGGATTTTCCGGTAATTTTTATTCAATTTTTTTACAGACAACAGGTACGCGGTTTACCCGTTCAATTTTTCTATATTTCGGCCAACGATGGCCCTGATCTGTACATCAGGGAGTCGTACAAGCCCGGGTTTGTGTGACTCCACGTCACAGATCTACTCACACGATCAGTACTGTACATGTATGAACTGTTAAAAAAAAAATTGGCTTTGGCTCGATTTTGGTGCGGGAGGGCCCGGGAATCTCTATTTTTTTTGGTCTCGCCTTAGTATACATTTTATATACTAGTAGGTGTCCTGCTTTGGAAAGGTGGCAAGGTTGGACAGTCTGACCTACTGTGTTTTCCTACTCAGAACCACACGTTCTCTTACACAACAATAGGGCAATATCGCCCCTGCAGGTTTTTAGAACACACCCCATTTCTGCAATTCCATGCAAATTGGAGCGCGGCGATTCCCTCCAAGTAATTTTAGTTGGGGAACGGAGGGAAGGGGGGGGGGGGCAGTGCGTACTCCGGGTGGCTCTGATCCAGTAAAACCAATACTAATACGGAGACTCCCTCGATTTAGGCTAAGGCCTGCGGAGAATCCATAAAATACAAATACAAATACAAATGCAGCCTCACAAGTCCAGCATCTCCATCATCAAAATGAACTTTTTTTTCTTTCTTTTCACCAGAATGAACTGGGCAAGGCGGCAGGCAGGACTCACAAATTCACTGCTCGCTCACTCACTGCTCGCTCACTCACTGCTCGCTCACTCACTGCTCGCTCACTCACTGCTCGCTCACTCACTGCTCGCTCACTCACTGCTCGCTCACTCACTGCTCGCTCACTCACTGCTCGCTCACTCACTGCTCGCTCACTCACTGCTCGCTCACTCACTGCTCGCTCACTCACTGCTCGCTCACTCACTGCTCGCTCACTCACTGCTCGCTCACTCACTGCTCGCTCACTCACTGCTCGCTCACTCACTGCTCGCTCACTCACTGCTCGCTCACTCACTGCTCGCTCACTCACTGCTGGCTCACTCACTGCTGGCTCACTCACTGCTGGCTCACTCACTGCTGGCTCACTCACTGCTGGCTCACTCACTGCTGGCTCACTCACTGCTGGCTCACTCACTGCTGGCTCACTCACTGCTGGCTCACTCACTGCTCGCTCACTCACTGCTCGCTCACTCACTGCTCGCTCACTCACTGCTCGCTCACTCACTGCTCGCTCACTCACTGCTCGCTCACTCACTGCTCGCTCACTCACTGCTCGCTCACTCACTGCTCGCTCACTCACTGCTCGCTCACTCACTGCTCGCTCACTCACTGCTCGCTCACTCACTGCTCGCTCACTCACTGCTCGCTCACTCACTGCTCGCTCACTCACTGCTCGCTCACTCACTGCTCGCTCACTCACTGCTCGCTCACTCACTGCTCGCTCACTCACTGCTCGCTCACTCACTGCTCGCTCACTCACTGCTCGCTCACTCACTGCTCGCTCACTCACTGCTCGCTCACTCACTGCTCGCTCACTCACTGCTCGCTCACTCACTGCTCGCTCACTCACTGCTCGCTCACTCACTGCTCGCTCACTCACTGTCACAGTCACTGTGACAGTGGGGAAAAGCCCGTGCAAAGCAATCAGCACCTGACTCTTGCGGTGGGCATGAAATAGAGGGCTCGCGCGAAACGCAATCACCATGCAGCACTGCATGCATACAGCGGTATAATGTTATTAGTAACATGCTGTTTTGGTACATGCTTAGCACTCACCCAAGCTGCATAAACAATATTTAAATACGTCATTATTTGAGATACTTTGTATGGATTCAAGCAAGGGCGTTGGAAGGGTAGTTTAGGTGGTCCAGTCAGCCATCTGAAGAACAGTTTACTCATGTGGGGGGGGGGGCTGAGCCGAAAACTTTGGACATTTAGAGCCCAGATGAGTGTAATTTATTGATTCACGGAGTACCTGAGGCAACAAGTGGTATGGTCAAAACTGTAGTGACCGTACCATGTCCGACGCCCCTGACCTGGCAATACTGGCACCACATTTACTGGTTTGTCACTCTGTTCAGATTTGCACTGCTCCACACAACCTACCATCGACTTGCCACTGACTCCATACACAGTGCTAGCACTGGTCTTCCACCCCGACTTCCACACAATACAAAGGACAGGCGATGACGTCATACACACAGCATCTAAACTACCCCTCAACTGTCAACATGTCACCACCCAGCAAAACCCATACAGTTCAAGGGCTCCACACAGCTGCCATAAAGGGAGCCAGCAAGTGACAACTAAAACCAGGTCTAGCACTTGATCATCAGAAACTGTTTTAACATGCGATCCGACTGCGGCCTGAGGATGATTATGTCATCGATAAGTAAATATTTTCCATCGCTGACACACTGCTTTGCTTACACACTGAGCATCACCAGTGTGACGAAGTGCGAGGTACATTGTGTGTGCAAGTACACATGAGCTTGAGCTATGTCTAACACAGCTTGCTCGCTAGCTATCATCGCTTAAGCGATGGGCAGGAGTATGAGTGTGAGCATGAGCGTGGACCCCCGTGCCAAGTGACGTCTCTCAAGTGTTTAACCCTTTGAGGCCCATAGTACGGATATATCCGTACCAGTGTACAGCGCATACTTTTCAAAGCGCAACCTGGCGTAACTCGGCTGTCCCTTGACCAAATCGGACAATCGAAAGGGCTATCGACATTAGAATTGTCTCAGCTATCGGCTCGAAAAAACCCGAACGCGATCCGAGTTCGGAGAGCGGAGATACGAGACTCGAACTAAATTCGCTCAGCAGTCAACTCGAGCGCGTGCATTTTGAACTCGTTTTTAGGGGTTTTCCCTGACTCGCGGCCCACGCAGCTACAGATAGTTTACGTCATCGCAAAGGCATGTTTCTCAGCTCTCCAGGAAAAAAACTTGAGCGATCTGCGATGCAATTTGTTGAAATGGCAGAGAATTTGAGTTGGGCGCTCGCAATGCTGGCTTTGGAGCGCCGTATCGCGCTGCGGCGCTGGTTCTGTGGATCGAGTGATGTATTGCTAGCTATCGCTGTGTTCCTCTGGCCAAGAGGTTTCCAGAAAGCCCAAGATCACCAAAATCGGCCAAAGGACACCAAAGTTACGACCAGATAAGTACCTGGGCTCGCGTATGCAGTGCATTTCTTGAAATAATAGTGGGCCCTAAAGGGTTAAACAGGGATCAGATGTCCATGTGAAGTGCCAGGCGACAGGCCACAAGACTGTCAATCCCTTCTAATAATATAATGATCCTGCACACCAGGCATCATTCACTGTAGCAAAACCTAAACCAATGCCCCAAGCCCTGCCGCTGACCGACAACGACGAGTTCCCTTTCTGAAATGGGTTGGCACAAACGCTCCTGGTAGTGGTTGAAACAGTGAGCACGTTTTTCCTCGTACACCACAAACACACGGTGCGCTATTCTTGCCACTCACATGTGCGAGCACACGCGACTGCCTTTTTTTTCCTCTTCCTTTTCACTTTTCTTTGTGTTCATGGACTATGCAGAGCACACACTGTCCATGACAACTATTGGTTGGTTGAGTGAGGGATGCAAACCAGTTTCGTGCTCTAAGTAATTCGACCTCTACAATTTAATTAATGTTCGTGGATCCGGAGTAAAATTAATATTAAATTTTGAAAAGGTGTACAAACCCTATATGGACATACAAAGGCGTATACATTTTCAAAAAAATAAATAATTGCAGGTTGTGTTGGACTTACTTTGCGAGTTGGTTATCGTCACAAAGCGACACGCACAAATCACTAAGCACCACCATAGCCGGAGCAGAGACGTTGACATGGACCGACTCTCAGGCGTTGCTGTTCCTGCGGAAGATGATCGGCTGATGAAACCCGATGTCCAGCAAGAGGATCGACAAGTCCGTCGTCCTATGCTCCGCATTCTATTAGCACCTTGCACGGGCTAGACCAACATCCTCGGTATGCCTCCGAAACGTCTTCATGGACTATCCTTTCTACAAAAACTACATGTACTTCAGAATCTCCGCCGCGTACCTGCCCTTGAGGCCTTGCCGGTGCAAACAACTCACGGCGAATAACTCGACGCCATTAGAGTGGCGAGGAAATCGCAATCCTGTCGGTTCTCCGAGCTAGTCAGCTAGCTATCTTCGGGAAATGCTCACATTGACAATATTGAGAAATTTGGGTGTGTCTTCTCGGAAATTTCTACAACCACGACCAGGAATGTGACACAATGCATACAGGACGAAAAAAGTGGCTGGTCAAAGCACAGATTGAGCGTGGGAGAAATGTAGGAAAGGGTTACTGGTAATACTATCGAGAGATTGAGGCGATCAAGCCAACGGGAGGTTGTATGCTGAGGGCTAAAACAAAGTAACTTAGTTCGCGAAATTGGGAGCCGGACAGACGGATGCCAACTGAATGAACTGGTCAGCTACGCCATCTGGAAAAGCACCTAAAACTTCGCAAAAGGCAGAGAACCAATCCAAAAAAAGTTGAAAACGATGACAATGACTGTTTGACCTCTGGGGTGCGTGACCCGTCGACCCGTCGTACCCAGAATCTGATCCGCACGTGTGTACTCGTACACGAACACGATTTTGCGTTGTTCGTGTGTTTCCCTGCGAAAGCATGCGGTGACACCGGTGTTCAGAGAATTTTGCTGAGGGTCAGCTTCGATCCGGTATGTTGAAGAAGCTGGTCGGAGTATTTTCTTCAACAATCATTACAATGTAAATTGTTGATCGTGGCAGACTCTGGGCCTTCCCTATCAAAATAATAAATTCTACTACTACTACTACTTTCTGATCTGCGAGGATAGTAGCAAGAATACGTGCAGATGGTGACAGAATCTGTTCACTTGTTTTAACCACAGCTGCATGGATGTTCCCGTTTATGAGATCTCCCGCTTTCTGCTCGTTGCATAACAGACCGGCATCCCACAAATAAAACGCAATGCGGGATCTGCAAAAGTGCAAGCAGTTCCGGAAATGGAAAACGCTGGCACAGCACAACCGCCTGAGCAAAGTTAGGGTGCGTTCTTATATTCTCTAGAGATATTTTGCACATGTCAAGCAAAATGAAGCGCCAAGGGGGCCGCGAACTTGAGCGATGCGTACACTCATGATGAGCACGTGGCTTTTAGTCGTAGTTCGCATGCGCTGATCTCAAACCGCGGGAATCTCCAAGTTTCAACCAGTACGGCAGTAGTGGTTGAAACTAAACTAAAGTTACTTGGAGATTCCCGCGGTTTGAGATCAGCGCATGCGAACTACGGCTAAAAGCCACGTGCTCATCATGAGTGTAGACATCTACGCATTTCCGTTTTCGCTTACGCACGTGCATTACTAGTAGGGAGTCGTAAAATACCGGTATTTTACGACTCCCTGATTACTAGACTACATTGGCCGCCATAGTGGAGGCATACGACGAAGCGGTGCACTTCCGCCCGAATGCCTTTAACCCTCCCAGAGGATCAGTGGGTAGAGCATTTGTTCAGCAATTGCGACTATACCTCTCACACTTCGCCAACAAAGGCTGCTATGACGGCATTGCCTTGAAGGTCGCAATGGTGTTTCAACAACTCCTCCTTCAGCAACCATGTAACCGTCGAAGCCTCAGTACTCTGCCCTCCTGAAGCGACGTCTCAGTGAGCAATGGAACAAAGGCGAAATCGACCAGTTGTGCCATGAGGGACGCACAATCCAGATCCAACTGTGTAAACGCTCGCAAGACTACAGCCAAATGCAGATAAAGACCGGAGATCGGGCCAGGACCTTTGCTTCCCGGATCACTGAAGGCAAGATCACATCGGCACTCAGTCTTCTCGACGAATCCACCTCGGCGGGATTGCTAGACCTAGATGACCTGGCGGACGAGGCTACAGGCACCACTGTACGAGAAGCTCTGAAGTCAAAGCACCCGGACAGCGCCCCTCTGTGTCTGGACGCACTGATACAGGAGAATCCATCCCCACTGCTACACCCAGTGATGTTTGAGGCGCTGACTCGCGATGTCGTCAGGAGGGCCGCTCTCAATACCCACGGTGCCGCAGGCCCATCTGGAGTCAATGCGGAAACGTGGAGGTGGATGTGTACTATGTTCTCGGATGCTTCCGATGGTCTATGCGATGCTCTTGCCTTATGTGCTCGGCGTCTGGCCACGGAATTCGTTGACCCACAATCCATTAATGCTTACCTGGCCTCTAGACTGGTTCGACAAATTGAAGTGAAGGTACATAGCACTAAATCGAAGAAGCGGAACATCAACTGCGGAGTGCCTCAAGGTTCCCACCTTTCACCACTCCTATTCCTACTCTATATAAATGACCTGCCCAACGCTATGCAACATTGCACACAATATCTATTTGCAGATGATGTCACCCTCTTACTTGCTTACCAACCTGAAGACACCCTCGCCAGTAGAGCAAACATGCAGTCTGATCTCGATGCATGTCAAACATGGGGCAGGAACAATGGAGGTGAATTCTCAGCAAGCAAGACATCCGTGCTGTGCCATAGAGCTATCAATGATACACCTACTGCAGGAATCCAATACCAAATGTACAATGAGCCATTAACGGTGGTTTCTGAACTGCAACATCTTGGCATCACCTTGACCGACAACCTGGATTTCCGCAAACATGTCGCCTCAATAACTTCGAAGTTCAGATATCGAGTGCACCTACTGTCAATAATGTCCCAGCAACTTACGCCTTCGGCAATGATCATACTGTACAAAGGGTTCGTAAAACCTGTGATCGAATATAGCTGTACGGTGTGGTCGTTTGGATCTAATAAGAAACCCATGACCACTATTGATCAATTACGGGCAAGGTTTGCTAGAGCTCTACTGAAAAAGAAAAAATTGCATTCACACTTCTTCCAAATCTGTCTTAAATTCTAAATGCTCCCTAGAGTCACTAGCCTATCGTCGTCAAATCATCAGTCTCACTACTTTTCACAGATATGTTTTCCATCATCGTGATTACCTTGCTGATTTCCATTTCAAGATTACGAATAGTGAGCGACGACCAAATAAAATCATTCTTCCCAAATGTAAATCATTGTCTAAGTCTCTCTTCATGTTCCGAACTGCTATTCTATGGAACTGTTTACCCCCCAGTCTAACATCGGAAGCCTCGCTCTATAAGTTCAAAGCTGCCCTCAGGAAATTTACAGCTGACCATGCTTATGCAATCAACGGAAGGGTCATTTCATAATAATAATAATAATAATAATAATAATAATAATAATAATAAAAGCAAAAAGGCCTAGCAACCGATTGGTAACCGCGCGCACACCCAAGCATCCTTCTCTCAACAAGAGGAGCGAACCTGTCTCAAAGTGTCGCCACGAGAATATGCACTTCCTTCGGAACTTCGAACCATCCGCAGGCATCACCTAGTCAAGTACAGTGGCAGCCCGAAAACCAGCTCCGATGCTTGCCACTTGAAATAGTATTCACGCCGCAATGATGCCATCTTTCACCCCTGCTGCTATTCATACCTTTGGATTGTGGGGTACAGCTGTATATGAAACAGCATCCAGATTTGTTTCATTAATGTTGTCTGCATGATGATCGCCCAGTGCGTGAAACTCGGAACCTTCTTCATCCCCTTCTTCTTGTTGTTGTTGTTGTTGGAAGTAGCTCTGACCCACAAGGCCGGTCACCATCACCTTGGAGCTGCTGCCGGGTTAGCGGAGTACAGTCAGACCTCGCTTCACCCGCGGCACACATCCGTTTTCCACAAAAAAATATCCGGATAGGCGAGGGAACCGGATAACCGAACACCGGTTATGTTGGGTGCACCGTGTGTGCTGTAAAACTGTAACCAGCTATTTTCTTCCTGATGGCGAGGGATCTGCATAAAAGAGGACCGGATAAGCGAGGTCTGATTGTACATCGCTGCCTACTTGAACGCGAGAAGCTGAGGCTACAGCATGGGTCGCCTACGCTGGATGTCTTCGGGCTACGCCATTGCTGGACATTCATCCAGCGCACACTGCCAGTGGTTAAAGGTAGCGACCACTTCCTATCCTTGAAGGAGGCCACCGACAGCAAACTCATCCCTGCTTGGACTGTGAAGACTTTAGCTGAGTGACGTGGAAATGGAAAATTATGGTCAAGCTGCCGACACTGTCAGGAGCTAGGTTGTCCTTTGATGACCCAATGGCCGAAGCAGAACGTAAGCATACGAACTCACTGCAAAGCACAGCCCTCCCAAGAGAACAGAATGTGAAGAACGAACCGCTGATGTCATGGGAAGTTTTAGGCTCGACCAAGAGCAGAAGGCAATTGTCCAGCAACGACTACGTAACCGAGCATCCATCTGAAGTGAATAAGCTTATACGGTAATACATGACTCTTGCTACTACAGTATTCACTCCGTCTTGGAGGTGAGACATGCATGGGGAAGCCATACTGGAGTGCCGCACGGTGAACCAGCCTCTCGGCACCAAATGTACAGCTCGCTCGACCCATCTCTACTGAGTCAAGAGGACACACACCTTGACACGCTGGTGCATGGTGAGCTAGCCGTGCCCAGCTCACGTAGACGGTAGTACCCTTGGAAAAGCGGACGAAAGCATTTTCGGCGAGCATACCAGTCCTTGCGGAGGATCAGACAGCCGGCTTTATTGTATGTCATGCACCGTTATGTGTATGCAAGATCACTTGTTCTAAATTTCCGCGCTTTCTGTACCGTCACAACCCAAGCAGCTGCCTTCTGCTACAAGGTACATTGTGCTCAAATCAGAGACCAGAGAGTCGTCAGGTACTTTGACGACTACCCGACAGCACACGTTGCCAAGGTTCCTTGTCAGATTCGTGAGAGAAATACTAGTAAGACAAATATGGGAAACAGAAGCCAACGACAGAAGCCTACGTGTGGAGTCCGAATTTGCGTATCAAACTTGGAATAAGAAAGAAGAAGGACCAAGGAACTACAAGTTACGCCATAATTAATCCTTGGCTCTCCATCCGAGTTCAAACTTAGAATAGATCGCGGTAAGAACACAGGACAAGGGGATTTATTAGGACATCATGTACAACCAAATGTTTGTGGACCAGGCGTGTGGAATATTCCAGAAAAGCGCCGTTGAAAGTGAACAAAAGGAAAACGACCAGACAGATACAATGAGTAAAACGGACAGGATGGAGGGAGAGAGGAGAAAGGGAAGGAAAGAGGTGGCGCGGCAAATCCCGCACTATCCACCCACTAAAGCCCTACAAAAGCTCGGCATATCAGCATGGACATCAACAAAATTAATGTGTACAGGCGACCAGGAAGTGGGAAAGGATAGCAAATCATTGAAAAATTCCTAAACGAGCGCACAAACTGCTTCACAAGAAACGCTAGAAAACAGAAGAAGAAAAAATGTTGGCCAAACGTCTGAAGAGAGCTACAGACAGTAGAAATAGCACATCTCACACTCACACATACAACTACAGAAAAGCAGCAAAGAAGCTCACGTATGGTCCAGCGAGATACCCGTGGCACAGAAACGGAAGGCAAGAAAGGAACGTACAGAGAGCAGCACTGGCGAAATGATCAATAGCAGTTATTCCACAGGCGAAGAGGAAATTATAATAACAATAATAATATTAAAAAAAGAGACGTATAAAGATTTGATGCTGGCATGTTACCCGTGACCGGTATACGATAGCAGAATGCTCGCATGACGAGCGGAGCCAGCGGAATGGCCAGGCCATGTTTGGCACGGCAGTACGGGAACTAGTGCTGAACGTATAGAATGTAGCGAGAGTACCTGTGCCGGTGGAGCCAAACTATGGACGGATTTCGCTGGGGGTGGGTGTGAGCGTGTGATTTCCGGTATAGACCTGCTTCATTCATTGCTCTTGCTGAGAGCCACCTAATCAAACTAATGCAGTGGTAGTAGTGGTTATGCATAATTTTCTGCAGTTTTGCATAGTGGCTTAGACCGTGGAAGAGCTAAGACCGTGAGAGAGCTTAGACCGGCAACGGGTGTGTTGTTAAATACGCCTGCAGTCATCAACATGAATAGTGCTGGCAGCTACAGCAGTGACGGAAATCGACATGAACAGCGTTGCATATGACTGATTGCGGGGGAGAGGGCGCCTGCAATGCGCGGTATAAGAGCAGAGAAATAGTATAAAAATTCACGTCAGCAACAGCCAGCATTGATGAAGCCGTGGATAGGGCTGTATGGACGGCACGCAGTTAGAGCTCAACAGGACGGTACGGGTGACGATGAAGAGTAGGTTGGATGACTACTTCGGCATGGAAATTGGGTAAAATGTACGATACTGCTGCCACGGGGATGAATTCGAACCTACGGCGGTGCTGGCGACAATGATCTGGAACCTACGGCGGACGACGGACAAGACGGACGCAATTGCAACGCCGACATGGGGTTGTAAAAGCGGACAACACAGTGCTCGACCGGGGAGCACAATGAGCACACCGACACAGTGCTGGACTAAACTAGGGTCAGCGATTTGCCTCTAAACACACAAGAAGGAGCAGTGCTCGGGCACAACGGCGCGGAACACCACCCCGCCGACGACGCCTGTTCGCGCTAGCATGCACGCAGATATTAGCGTGCACACACGCACGGTCTGTTGGCACAGACACCACAACTGCCATCGCTGCTCTCAGCAATGTGGCAGATGGTTTGCCATGGTGGCCAAAAGCTACCTTTTGAGTTGCACGGATAGCTCTCAGAGATGCAGAACTTGATATGTGAGCTGGCATCAATCGGCTAGAACCCGTCAATCATCTTGTATGCTTTCAGTGCTGCCAAGATCAGATAGAGGAGCCAGAGAGACACAAGGATGAGGGCGGATATCCATTTGCCGCTCTTCGGCCCTCCAAGCTCTCCTCCATAGAACTACAGGCACAGAAGACACACGGACAGACAAATGAAATAAATACAGAAGAGACAGACACACAGAACAATCAGGGAGCTGGCGTGTGTGTGTGTGTGTGTGTGTGTGTGTGTGTGTGTGTGTGTGTGTGTGTGTGTGTGTGTGAGAGTGTGGTGTGTGGTGTGTGCGTGTATGTGCGCATGTGTGCATGTGGGTGTGCAGCCAGTGTATGCCAGAGTATGTGGTGTGGCGTGTGTGTGTCAAAAAAGAATGAAAAAAAGAATGAAAAATGGAAAAAATTAAAAATAGGGATTCACTGGCCAGAAAAAGCCACTTCAATCAGCTGGGTGGTGGATACCAGGCTAAAATTAGTGGTGGTCAATTCATCAGCCTTGTAAGCTGTTGACTGGTGTAATCCTAGCACAAGTTGCTGTGTCTAACATAGCTGTTCGCTATCATCGCATATGCGATGGGCATGTCTGAGTCTGAGTCCGATGTGTGTGTGTGTGTGTGTGTGTGTGTGTGTGTGTGTGTGTGTGTGTGTGTGTGTGTGTGTGTGTGTGTGTATGTGCGCGCGTGTGCGTGTATGCATGAGTGAGTGAGTGCGAGAGAGCGAGCGAGCGAGAGAGAGAGAGCGAGCGAGCGAGCGAGCGAGAGAGAGAGAGAGAGAGAGAGAGAGAGAGAGAGAGAGAGAGAGAGAGAGAGAGAGAGAGAGAGACAGACATGCAGAGAGAGAGAGAGAGAGACAGACATGCAGAGAGGAGAGAGACTTACTCTTCTTCGAAATGTCAAAACCATCAGCCCACCAATGGCACAAGCCACGTATACTGTCACAGAGAAGGACAGGTTTTGATTGGATACCTGCCAGGCACAAAATCACAGCCACATACGAGACAACATCAGAAAAACGCATACAGCAACACAGCATACTATGGATACTGACATTACATAATGGGGTACTACACGTATATAACACATCACGAGTACTCGAATTTCAGAAATTTTCGGTACTCAATATTTTCGGTATGAGGGCAACAGGCTAGGTTAGGTGAACAGAAATATTCGGTACAGAGAAGCAGTTCCCTATTGGATTATGTGTGTTAGTGTTTGTTCGGTGTATTGAAATTTTAGGTATGAAACAGATGCACCGAAAGTGTCGAAAATAAAAGTACACCGAAAATTTGTGAAATTACGGTAACCTACACATAATACACGATGAGTAACCCACACATGCATTACACGATGAGTAACCCTGGCAACCGTTCGCAAACCTGAGATTGGGACAGTGACATACACAGTATACAAATGTAGCCGTGAGGCATGCGGCAAATGCACTTTCGGGTGCCTATTACCACCCTCGATATCGGGACGGTCCGGGCCAAGGCGGGATGGTGGGCAGGTATGTAACCCACACATACATTACATGACCAGGGGTACATGTACAGTCAGACCTCGCTTATCCGGTCCTCGTTTATCCGGTCCTCGTTTATCCGGTCCTCGTTTATCCGGATCCCTCGCCATCCGGAAGAAAATAGCTGGTTACATTTACAGCACACGGTGACGTGATGCATCCAACATAACCGGTGTTCGGTTATGTGGTTCCCTCGCCTATCCGGATATTTTTTTGTGGAAAACGGATGTGTGCGGTTAAGCGAGGTCTGACTGTACATACAGACTGAGGAAGCAGACACTGCAGCTGGAGGCCACATGGTGAACACATGGTGAACACATGGTGAATACATGGTGAACACGTGGTGAACACATGGTGAATACATGGTGAATACATGGTGAATGATTGCAGTGATCCCTACCTTGTATATTGATCCATTAGCTTCATGATAGATACTTGAGATAACCCAGGGAAGACCCAGGCCAAGGAAGACGTTCACACTGTTACTGCCTGCAGTGCAACACACACACGCACACATACGTACACACACACACACACACACACACACACACACACACACACACACACACACACACACACGCACACACGCACGCACACACACACGCGCCAGCACACACACACACACACACATACACACACACACACATGTCTCATTATTGAGCTGCAAAGGTTTCCACCTTCTTTTAAAAGTATGTTTTCTCGGAAATTTGGAAAACGTTTTGTGCAAATTGAAACTTAAAAGCCAGTGCTGAATGACTACCACAAGGTAACTGGTACAGAGTAGGCCTGGCTTGGTTGACAACTTCCTAATTACTATCGCCAACTTTTTCAAACTGCCAAAGCTTGTGTGTGTGTGTACGTGTGTACGTGCGTGTGTATGTGTGTGTGTGTGTATGTGCGCGCGTATTTCAACTGACCTGTTATATTGCCGATAGCAGCGTCGGCATGTTTGTCTTGCAAAGCAGCAGCTCGACTTGCAAACGTATCCGGTAAGCTAGTTCCCAGAGCAATGAGTGTGATGCCAGTAACGCTGACACGCAGGTTAATAGCGCAGCCGAGCATTGTAGCAAGCTATGTAGACATGCACAACACACAGCACAAAGACATTCACATGAGCTCGAGAGATGCAAGTCGAACTTCACCTACCAGCAGCACCAGCTCTACCACCAACACCCCTCCCAGCACGAGCACAGCACTCTATAGTCTGCTAGACACTTCGCAAACTTCACCCGTAGAAGACGTTTGATGCTACAACTGCCCGCCGATTGCTAAGTACAGTCAAATCTGTCGTAAGCGACCGCCCCTTGGTGCAAGAAAAAGCGGTGTCTTACGGCAGATGGTCTCTTACGGCAGATGTATGGTAAATCCGGCATACCGGGCATGCATATATGCTTCCATGTACTCAAATCAACGAGAATAATGTGATTTTTAAGGCCAAAACAAAAAATAGGCTTGTTTGCGGTCGGCAACCCCTGAAAAAGGAGACTCGGTCGGCCGGAATGAAACTTTTTTTGGATACTTTTTTTGGTTCCTCATGGTATTGATGGACAAGAGCACCTATACTATAGTCCCTATAGGTGCTCTTGTGGCCTACACATGTACATTGTACATTATATTATCATGGCAAGGATCAATGGCAAGGATCAATGTCAAAGTTGACTGGCTCACTGGTCTTGTACAGCATGTGGTGTATTCCTGTTTTCGTACATCCTGAGAAATCAAGCAAACAGTCCTTCCAGCTCCGTTATTCTAGCTCGTATCGACCCCGGACGTTTTCGAGCCGACAGCTGAGAATCTCTGCTACCTTGTAGGTGTTTCGATTGTGGAATTCAGTTGAGATTTCACTGAGTTATGACTCGTTGAGTGCACTTGCACACACATGCACATGGCAATGCCACCGTTTGTATACATTTGGGACCAAAAAAAGTTTCAGAATTTGGGAAAAAGTGGCCCGGTCGCCCGACCGAAAACAAGGTCATTATTTGTTTTGGCCTAATATCATTTTATTGGATATTCAATAGAATATAGGGGTGCCAGGGCCAGTCGATCGCACTTGCAAGACAGCGCATTTTCACACCTTGCAGTTGACAGCGTACTGGCAAGTACAGTTTCGCACCTGACTGAACGCGGGTCGCGGTCGCTTACAGCAGATTTGAATGCAGCCACCGTGCATGAAATCGCGGTCGCTGGTCGCGCACAGCAGATGGTCGCTCTGGACATATCAATTTGTATGTGAAACCGTCAGTGCACGAAAAATCGGTCGGAGAGAGAGAGAGAGAGAGAGAGAGAGAGAGAGAGAGAGAGAGAGAGAGAGAGAGAGAGAGAGAGAGAGAGAGAGAGAGAGAGAGAGAGAGAGAGAGAGAGAGAGAGAGACACACACACACACACAGAGAGAGAGAGAGAGAGAGAGAGAGAGAGAGAGAGAGAGAGAGAGAGAGAGAGAGAGAGAGAGAGAGAGAGAGAGAGAGAGAGAGAGATAGAGAGATAGAGAGATAGAGAGAGAGAGAGAGAGAGAGAGAGAGAGAGAGAGAGATAGAGAGAGAGAGAGAGAGAGAGAGAGAGAGAGAGGGAGAGAGAGAGAGAGACACACACACACACACACACACACAGAAATGACATCATCCACCATCATACCTGTTCAATTACAGCTGTCATGATACCAATAAACAAGAGAGACACAAAGAAACAGGGCCAGCCGTTCCAATAATGCCTGAAAACAAAAGCATAAGCGCACAAACAAACAAACGTGCCCGGGCACACACACAGACACAGACAAACAAACATACACAAACATACGCACACATACAGACACACGCACGCACGCACACACACACACACACACACACACAGAGACACACACACACACACACACACACACACACACACACACACACACACACACACACACACACACAGGGGAACGTTCAAAGAAATTTCAGATTTCCTAACAAGATACTTAGATGCAGACAGAAAGAAATCCGCAGATCCAGTAACAAGCAACTGCGGTCAACAGCTGTATCAAGTAAAGTAAGGTTTGCCAACAACGGCAAGCAAGCCTGATATATTTAATCCTACTGTGGAAGCCAGGCCTTGGTTGGTGAGAAGGCATCTATGCCTGTTTGCTTGATGAAGTAAAAGTAGCGTATATCATCCCACTATGGAATGCTGGACATTCTCAACTGGAGATTACCGGGTGCACGGGGATAGAGACGTTCTGCAACGCCATGAAACGTATGTCCAAAGTCGCCTCTCACCAGGCGGCAAATTAACGACCGTGTTTCGTACCACCATATGTCACCAAAGGCTCCACACTGTATAACATACTGGCGTACTCACGCATAACTCTCACATAAAAC